ACTAAGATAAAAGGTAGAATAACTGCCTAAGGCCAACAGAAGCCTTTCTTCAAGTCCTGCAGGGCTGCTGCAAAGTTCCCATCAATCCTGCACACCGACTGTAAAATGCATGTGGAGGATAAGAAAAGCACAGTGTTGTAATAATGTGGTATAGTGTGTTTTCTGACTTCAACACTGGTCGTTTGGCAATTAAATATTTGTATAAATTATTACATTAATTTAGAAAGTAGTTTTCTTGTACTAACACGTCTGAAAATGCTCATCACATGGGCACTCACATACACTGGGAATCCCTTGCCCCTGTCCTGGAGTTTTCAAACTACGAGAGTCTATGTGGGACCTGAAAGGCTGTACTCACATAACAGTTTCTCTCACAGTAGCCTTTCAGTTTTATGCAGGGTGCCGGTGGTTTCAGTGTCTCACTTTTTTAGGGTTTAGAGGTCTGATGGAACTGAACCTAACATTTTCATCCCTAACACAATGGCAGTGCTTTTAACAGACAGGTTCACTATTTACCATCACAACAAAGTGTTTAAACTGCTTTAGTTTAATCCTAACCCTAGCTCCAAAATGTCCTCAAACTGGTTCTCAGAAAGCCAGGCACAGAGGTTGTCTGCAGATATACTGACACACAGATGCACAAGCACATGCGCACCCAGACATACCCCGCCTACCCCGCCCGTCTCACATACGCACGCTTGAAAATGTCAAGCCGTCTGGATGAAACAGTCACCTGAGCCACAGCACCGGTCTCACCCTCCTTTGGACAGCCATTATCAGGCGCAGTGCGAGGTTGTGCGTGAATCCCCATTTGTGTGTGTTAGAATTACATTTCTCTTAAATGTGCTCCAATGTATCCCTTTTTGTTAAATATGTATGCTGTGTGTACAGTTTAGTGGAGAAATGGTGACTGAATGTTTGTGGATGTGGGCTGTCACGGACTAATAAGGCGCTGCTTTGGTTGTGGCAGTCAGATGGACAGATGAGGCGACTATGATCTAACCATGTGAAGCCTGATCTACTGTCAGCTGTCGAATCTGCATTTTTAGAAGGACAACAGGTGAACGTTTGGTCCTTTGTTGATGTGACACCAGTGTTCACAAAGGAATTTTTGCAGTCTGTTTCTCAGACACACACAAACTCAGACACACACGCTGCTCGGTGAAAATGAGCGGTGTATGTGCCAATCCAATGCAAATCCTGCAGGTTTTTTTCTGCAGGTAACAGCAGACGTGTGATTGACGCCTGTGAGACCTTATTTGTCTTGGTGACAGAGCCTCACAACGCTGCACGGAGAGAACGCATCACGCAGACAGACACGGCGGCTCACTCTGGACATATCTGTGAAGGTCCCTGTTCTAGTTGCTGGTTCTCTTGTGCTTCTCTGTGTTTCTAGTTCCTCCTGCCCAGCTCTGCTGTCATGCTATTGTTACTCTTCATGTTTCAGGATTAGTTACATGTCTTTTGGCTGCTTTCTGTCTTATTTTGAAGGTTTATTTTCTTACACCTGTTGTAGTTTATTTCTAGATGTCGGCTTTTGGTCTATCCTTTTGTAACTGAGCTTTGTGTCTGCATTCGGGTCCTTACTCATGTCCATGAGTCCACTCTGGTCAAAGAGTGTCATGATCCTGAGTCTTTGAACCCATATTTTGAGTTTTGTGTTCTTTATCCTATGTTTTATGTTATTATGTTTTGGATTTTGTGTGGGGTTACAGTTTCTGGATAGGTTATGTCGGTCCATGAGCTGGTTTCCCCTGTGTCTAGTTGTTAAGTCCCCATTAGTGTTCGTCAGTTTCATGTTTTATTTTTTCCGTTTTATTTCACCAGTCATTCGTTTTGTGTGCTTTTGATCACTTTTGTGTCCACTTGTCTCATTGGTATTCTGTTCAGCTGTCTCATTTCCCCCCAGCTGTGTCCGCTTTCCCTAATGTGTGTATTTAAACCCTGTTTCCTAGGGTTGATACTTTGTTTCTATTGCACTAGTATCAATCTGAAACCAATATCATCATTGGTATCCATTCTATCGATATTTAGATCCACCGATCTCTAATACTGGGTGCAAAACCTGCCTGCTGCACAGTGAATAGTGACACAAAGAAAGAAGGAAGAACAGGAATGTGTGTTTAGAGGTTTTTTAATATTAACTATAAAAAAAAGTCCACTTCCTCCACCAGATTCTACATAAAATAATTCACTGTCACCAAATTAGAGGTTTCACAATTCTGAAAAATAGTTACCTACCACACACAGTAGCTCAAACACACAGTTTACATCCTGTTGGTCAACAGTGTTTAAAAAAAAATACAGCAGTAACACGGAAGTTATCATGTACAGTAGAATTACTTTTCTTTGAGGGCATCATCAAAGATGTAAAAATATAGCTGCCACATCTGAAAAATGTAGCAGAGTCAAGATCAAAACACTTTATATACAGTCAACAAAAAAGCAGCTGGAACCACCACTGTGAGCTGATATTAGCTTCAAAGTCATTAAGGTCACGGGCATTTTCCACTCGTCATAAAATGAGGCACACAGAGCAGAACTCAAACACATGATTAATATCATAAACGGTTGGTTTAATATTCTTTTCCACACGGCTTTGTTTGGTGTCAGTAATTCTCACAGACTGTAGATAAAAGAAGGACGTAGTGAAGTCATCCATTGGTTTCTGGATTTCAAATGGATCCTATATTGGTCGGGTTTATTACCATTTACTCGCTTTTAGAGCCTCAAGTGGCTGTTAGAGAAACTGCAGTTTAAAGCACTTGCATGTTGGATAAACTTCTTCGGACGGCTGTTTGGATTACAACGATGTTGTGGAAACACAATAATCGTGTTTCCACAACATGCTATCACAAAAACCATTACATATTATAAGAATTGAGTATCTCCAAAGACAAGAATTACCAGCTTGGATAAAATACTTTATTTTTTAATTATGCAAATTATATAAATTGTATAAATTGACTGTTAATGTAGTGAAATTACTGAATATTTTGTTAGTTTCTCCCAAATCCAAATTTTTCAAAATATACAAGGCAAAAATATAAAAACAGAGAGTTGTTTTGCTAATACATAAAAGCCAACAAAGGACTTAATGTGGTTCCAGCTGACTTGCACTGACACACAGTTTTGTCAAAATGAGGCATCACCTGCTGAGTTTATTCATTTATTTATTTTTACCTTTTACCATCTTTAACTTTATAAAATAAGTTCACAAAACAATCAACTCTCTGAGTGGTGATGATTTTAACACAGAGCATGAATTGTGTTTGGAGTTGACAGAAATATTGAGCAGAGTTGGAAGAAACTGGTGTTTTACAACTTCAAGTACAGAAACCTGCTTTTCTCTAGCTTACCGTATGCGAACTGGACATTTAAAAGTCAAGCTAAGAGAACTATCTCCTGCTGTGTTTTTGAAAAAAAAAAACGAACGATACACATTAACATGGGACGTGACATTTATTTTTCAGGACTTTGTCTTTACTCTGGAGCGCTCCTCCTCTCAGTGAGCCCACTCTGTTTTGCTGGCTAGCTTCCAGCAGCTGGCAGCTCTGGAGGCTAAAACAACAATAGCATTTCGTATCCTGTTCTTTGCGCAAAATGTTAACTCCTTAAATACATTCATCTGCCAAAAGCCCAGTGAACAAAAACCACAGAAATGATGGATGTCTGTGGCCTTGTCTGAACAATTCGACAGCAAGTAGAGGTAATTTGTTGCCAGTGGCACGACGAAGCTTGTGAGGGAGCATTTTTGAATCACAAAGTCCAAGATGTCCTCTTTAAGTACCTAAACCAGCTTTAGCAGATTCTTTTGGACGCTCTGGGCATAATATTAAGCAAACAGTTGGCTATTTTTGCATCATAAGAGCACAATAGGAGCTGGTCAGGATTTAGAGTCTCTGACAGATGGATTCCCAACGCGAAACTGCTTTACAGAAAACACTTTAATTAGTGTTTGACTAAAAAACTGCAAGTTTGTTAGTTAAAAGAGAAGATGAGAAGTAAAAAAAATGAAAAAAGTGAATCTAAACAAACCTCAATACTTTTAAACTTTCCTTCATCTGGTTTTTGGAGTTTATACAGTTTATACACTTTTTACTTCAGTCCAGATTCACTCCAACATATAGTCTGTAGTTTCTGTCCACATTTATGTCATTTAGTGATTTAAATGATGGGGCGATCGTGGCTCAAGAGTTGGGCGTTCGTCTTGTAATCAGAAGGTTGCCGGTTCGAGCCCCGGCTCCAACAGTCTCGGTCGTTGTGTCCTTGGGCAAGACACTTCACCCGTTGCCTACTGGTGGTGGTCAGAGGGCCCGGTGGCGCCAGTGTCCGGCAGCCTCGCCTCTGTCAGTGCGCCCCAGGGTGGCTGTGGCTACATGTAGCTGCCATCACCAGTGTGTGAATGGGTGGATGATTGTGTATAGTGTAAAGCGCTTTGGGGTCCTTAGGACCAAGTAAAGCGGTATACAAATATTTGATGGCAACTGTGCTGAACAGATAACATGAAAGAAATACTGGCAGTGAAAGATAACTGTTATCAATAGGGATTTTGGCACGCCGGCAGATGTTTTTCAGAAACAATGAAGGACAGCGCTGTGACAACAATCGCCCACATTCAGGGCATCTAATAAAAAAAAGAGTGCAGTAGTTCGTAACTCATATTGCCCATACAGCTCATAACAGTAACGCTTTGTGTTTACAGTTTGCGTTGGAGTGTGCATTGGCTTCTACGGTGCCTGAATGGGACTGGAAGATACACATAAAGCCCTTAAAATGTGTGACAGTGGTGTTGCATTCGTGTGTGGCCCCATCTCCACTTGTAAAAGTCATTACTCTGTTAATGGCGGCACAGCACTTCATAGCATCTCTGCTCCCGCTTCAATTATGGATCAATTCAGTCGCGGCATGACCCGAACGCCTCTTCATCTTAAAAAAAGAAACATCAAATTGGGCAAAAAAGCTGCAAGCTGAGAGAAACGAGAGAGTTTACTGTTTCAAATACTTCCTGAACAGAAGAAGGGGATGAGAGTAAAGTTGTGATAGTCGTGGTGATGAAAGGAAAGTGCTTTCAATCTCCACTTGCGCCTTAATTAAAATGAAGAATGAGAGGAGGACGAGGGGCACAAAAATATTAAGCCTGATGTTCTGACTTCTGCAATTTAGAAGGAATTTTATGTGGAAAAGAGAAATCCCATTTTGGCTTTCACTCATACAAGTAAAATGTCCACAAAGAGACACGAACCATCTTTCCTCCTGGCTTTCATTGCCTGGTAAAAGTTCAGATGATCCCATAGTCCCTTAGAGACTTGAGCAGCACGGTGTCCTTCACGTCGCTGAAGACCCTGCGGATGTTGTTGGTGTCCGTGGCACAGGTGAAGTGGGGGTACAGAGTCTTCCACGTCTCCCGGTTGTTGTGGGTGACGGCCTGCTGCTCGTACATCTTGCGGATAAACTTCATAGCGTCTTCGGGGTCATGTTTCCTGCCTGTTGAAAAGTGGAGGTGAAAGATGGAAGTGGACAACAAAGAGATGAATTTGGGTGGAATAAACCGACTGATGGAGAAGAACAAAGACATCAGAGAATTTTAGATTTACTTGTCACTAAGCATGAGATGGAAATTAGATTAATCAACATGGCAAAACATTTTCAATTTCAAATTTAGAGGTGGCTAAAGTTGCATAGAAGGATATCAGCAGAGCGATCACAATGGCATGCAGAGCTTGACTCCAAGGTCTGCCTGAACTAACACTATGTTCGACTTTATTCTATCAGCAGATGAAAAAACCTCCCTGCAAATAATATATTTGAAAAACCGTAAACGGCGATCATTTAGAATACTTTCTTGATGATAACAATACCATTTCTAAACATTTCACTGCAAGTTCAAATCAGCTTTAAAAACAGTAGAAGACTGCAGGGATTATTAACAGGTATAGCCTTCAGAAGTAGTCACTGTAGCAGTAATAAGGACCACACAGTGCCTGCACTGGAACACAGCCACATTAGCGGCAAATAGCAGCCAGTGCTAGGAGCTGTTCACAGTTGTCATTAAGGTTAAATTGACATCAAAGAGCTTGACCCTGTGTGAGTCATTATTTTACCCCGCTAATGCTAGTGGTAAAACAAAGTGTGTGCACCGCACATACACATGTGCAAATTTTCACTTTCAGTCACTCATTTCAATCTTCCACACACACACACACACACTTGTACGCCTGGGGGTATTCAGGTGGGGGTGCAGGAAGGCCAGTATCTGTCTGTGGTTGCCGTTGGTTACAGAGAGAGAGCGGAGGTGTGTGGGGGTGAGGGGGGCACCCTACTGCCTCTAACAGCAGCAGAGTTAAAGGCTGCAACCTCGTCATTAAGCACAGAGTACCTGAAGTGACTCATCTACAAGAAAGACATAAAGAAGGAAGGAAGGAAGGAAGAAGAGACGGAAGAAGTAGGAAGAATGGACGGAAAGATAGAAGGAAAGAAGCAAGGATGAGGGCAAAGATGGTGAGCAATAAGGAAGGGAGGCATGAAGAGGGTAAAGATGGGAGAAAAAAAAGGAAGAGGCCAAGGAAGAAAGAAAGGAAGACAGGAAGAGGGTAAAGATATCCGAAAGGGGGAGGAAGAGGAGAAAGATGGTGAGAAAGGAGGGAGAAAGGAAGAAAGAACAGAAGGAACAGAATAAAGAAAGCAACAAGGAAATGCGAAAGACTGCAAAGATGCTAAGAAGGAAGGAACGAATGAAGTAAGTAAAAGAAGATGATAAGAAAGTAGAAAGGGAAGGAGCAGTGAAAGAAAAGCAAAAAGCAAGAAGAGAAGAGCAAAAAATGTCTGGTGGCCGTGGTGAGGGCGACAGAGGGAGACTTTCAAGCTTGGAATTAGAAAATGAAATCACTTTGCACACACGTTTTTGGAAATGACACATTTTGTGCCAGGTGTAGAAGGGCGTGATGAAATTGTTGCATGCTCAAAGCAAATTGGCTGAAGCAAAATAACATCACAGCCCTCGTGTCTCGGACATGATTGTGTCCACGCTGCGATGAAAATAAACGCTTGCAAACAATGAGCTGCAATTGTAATTGTTGATGGCAGTGAAATCTGGCTGCTGACTTGGCTCAGTCTGCATTCAATGCTGCTGTGATTTCTTATTTGAATGTCTGAAACCTCCACGTTGAGGCTGAGTGTCGGACTGATTCACAAATATCAAACCCTTAGTGCTCTCAGTGCTCCCCGCCATTATTAAATCCACCGCAACTTCAGCACAGGCACTCGCAGACATCTTACAGTCTGACCAAATCTTCACAAAAAGCCTTCAAATCAACTAAAATACTTGGAATATGTTTTTTTCTTTCTTTTTTTACAAATTGTTTGATCAGTTGTCCGATAGTTGCTAGCAAAACTACAACACACCCTCACCCTAAATGCAAACAAACAGAAGACCAGCTGACCTGTGAAACCGGGGAAGTATTTCTGCAGGTCTGATGTTTTCATTTTATCAGTCAGGATGTCAGTCTTGTTGAGGAAGAGGATGATGGAGGTGTTGAGGAACCACTGGGAGTGAATGGTGGTGTAGAACAGAGCCAGACTCTCTTGCATGCGGTTCTGGGGAGGACACAGAGCATTATCACAGAGGCAGGGAGAAAACAGTCCTTCAAAGAGAGGAAATAGGTTGTTTATGGGCAGCATATGGACCACAGTGGAGGTTAATAAATGCGATGGCAGACCAGAAAGTGTCTGGGAGAGATAAACGGATCAGTGACAGGATGGGAGGGAAGAAGAAGGCGATAGGGGGCTGCAGAGGCTGAGAGGAGATAAGAGAGAGGCTTTGTTGTACAAGAGCGAGACCTGCTGGTGAAACGATGGAATGACTGTAGTGAGAGACACATTTATGACTCTGGTACATATATATATACTTTGTTCTTTATTAACAAATTACAAAACCCCCAAACATAAGCTAAACAACCCAGTGTATGCTGTGTGTAAATGTACATGTGCTGTGTATTTTGCACAATCTATGTCCAGAGTGAACGGCCATCTTTAAACTGAGGTGGTGGCTTATGACACCAGCTGTCTGCCACCTACAGCGCAGGCTTGAGATCCCTTCAACCTCCGATCAGACCTTGCCTCAGGGGACCACAATAGGTCACATGATGGGTTGGGGCAAGGTCTCTCTGTGCTTTCACCCTTAAGCCGTTTTTTTGTTTTTTTTGGCTGACCAGAAGTCTGCCTGCAGTGAGCTCTGATGTCGGATGGAGGGAGTGTACAAAGCATGTGGTACAACCGGTCTGTGGGCCACTGTTGCTTGTGTTTTTGTTGGGTCACCAGCCAGCCGAGGAGAAGAGCGACGTTACAACATATAAGGAGCTAAAGTGAAAACAGAGTGTTGCAAACTCCCAAGTTCTGACTCAGGTAACCGAAACACGGCATTGCGACGCCATCCGTCAGCCACCTACAACGCAGCCTCGATAACCCTTTCCAGGACCTTCAACCCCCGATCACACCTCGACTCAGGTGACCTCGATAGGTCACATGGTGCGCTGGAGCAAAGTCTACGAGTGTTTTCAACCTTCAACATTCTCATTGAAGGTAATAACCCACGCCTTTTTTTTTCATGTGATGTTGCAGATGATCAATAGTGGGTCAACAACCCTCAGAAGACAACCCCTCATAAGGCTAAATACTTGGAACTCCTCTGTTAAATACCTGGGATGAGAGGTGAAGCATCCTTGCAAACCTAAAGAAGTCCAGTTACCTGGATGGCTGAGCACCTACATATAAATATTCCAAGCACCTTAGAATAGCTGGTAAACTATCCGGTAGATAAATCTGCACAGATCCTATGATTGTGTTCATTTTCTGCAGCTGTACACTGAATGAGAGTCACAGGAGTTCTTACAGTCGTGTCTTTCTCCTCCAGGACTTGGTCATACTCGCTGAGCGACGCAAGGAAGATGAGGGAGGTGACGTTTTCAAAGCAGTGGATCCACTTCCGCCGCTCCGACTTCTGACCGCCAACGTCCACAATCCTATCAGGGATCAGAGGAAGGAAACGTGTAAAAGAACAAACAAACGACAAATTGCCAAATGACCGTGAGCTGCTGAAGCGCCAAACGCGAGATCGAGCAGGGATCTCACTGGAGATGTGCTTACTTCTCCTGCCCAACAAAGTAACACTGTAATGCCAACAATGATAGTGATCGAGACAGTGAGGCATCTGGCACACCTAGGAAAAATGCAAAAACTATGACAGAACCCTGCACGAGCAAATCACACAAGAGGCATTCATTAACGTGCAGGTTTTCCTGTGTCCCTGCGTACTTGATGTGAGCTAATTCCTTTGTTAATATTAAATCAATTAAGTACTAAAATTAGCAAATGAAGCAAATGAATATAACAAGTATCCACATTGGAACAGGTGCCTGCGAGAGGTGAAGTATGGCATCCAATTTATTCAACAAAGATGTTCACTGCATAAAATAGTATTCATTATTACAGCATGTCTTAATGGATACTAATTTATTTAATCAGGCCTTTTTATAACTGGCCGTTTTGTGTCCACCTTTTGAAAAACTACGTCACACCTAGCAACGGGGTCAGCCACACCTCGTCACCGAGCTCAAGGTTCCCTTCCATTGCTCCGAGCATTTCCCAAACCACTTACAGCTGTACCCAAGATGCACTACAAATTAAGAAAACCTTCGTGAACGCCAAGGTGCTTATGTACAAATGCAAGAAAAACAAGCCCTTCCCACTCTTTCAGTGCTTACACGGTGCCCTCACATCAGTAATGTGCTAATAAGCTGCGATGTGAAGTGGAGATGTCCTTCTTAGAACATGACGCACTTTATTAAAGGACAAAAATGCCTCTTTGCCTTTCATTCACTTTTTTATTTTGCCATTAATTTATCCAGATGTATTTTCTCTTTAGTTTAAAGTCCATCATTATTTTCATTTCCAGCTCCATATTTGTATTCTTAGAGTCTAGCAGAAGAGCTCTGCATGATTCACAGTTTTAAATAAAGCTTATTTTGGTCACCTGCTTGTTGGGATTGCTGTGCTGAAAGCCAAGGATGCCCTCCCTCTGTGACATCATAAAGATTCAAGAGTAAAAATAACTGCCTGACACAAAGTCTGTGATCTTTTGGCTCATAGGGATTACTTGTACACGCACAGTGAAACTTTGGCCATGTTTAATATCAGCACTCCCCCTCTGTAACAGTATACATGTGAAAGAAAGTGAAGAAAGGCTTTTACTAGGTCAACTTTAAATGCTTTTAAGAGTTATTATTTTATGATAATATGTTGGAACACAATGTCCTTTAGAAATAAGCTTTGGATCTGTTGTCAAAGCTTAGTCTGACTGCCTACACATTTTCAAAATAAAACCCACATGAAGTCTGCACAGAGGCAATCAGAAATGCGATCCTATTGCGTCCAAGCAGGCGTGAGCAGACAAAGCCTCTGCAAGAGTCAATAGTATTTTTTTCACAGTGCAGTGAATAGTGAAGGTATTGGATTTGCCCCTGTGAGAGGTTAGAAATCCGAGGATTGGTCACCTTAGTGTGATGGTATTGACGGTAAAGGAGTAGTCGTGGATGCCCGTGGTGGGGAATCGAACTCTCAGCACGTCCTGTTCCGTGGGGATGTAGTCCTGGGAGGTGATGCGGTCCAGATTATTCATGTAGCTGAAAGAGAGACGCGATGGGGCCGAAGAGAGAAAAAATATTACAACGGCAAAAAAAAAAATCTGTTTCTCACACTAGAGGATATTTCTACTGAAACATATTGCCTCTGTTTACTTTGCATCCGGCAATGACAGGTGAACCGGTGATGACAGAAAAGAAAAAAACTGATTAAAAATGCAAGAAGGGAATGGAGCAAGTCCACATCAACCTGTGTACAGACCACAGCTTTATGGCTCATGTTGATACAAGCTGTCATTAGCTAATGTTGACTGCCTGTCCCTTATCAAGCACGCACCGCGATGACTGAACTGCCGGGTAAACACAGACCAGAACAGCAGTATAAAAGAGAGAAAACATGCAGGCTGAGCCCACACTTTGTTCTGTGACACTTGAGATACTTTTAGCGTAAGGCTCACACCTACTGTGTCTTTCCCCGTTGATAATAAAAAGCCTGTCTGAGGTTAGCTCTACACTGTGGCTTAAAATGGTTTTTGTGATGTAGCTATAAAACCTGAAGACTCCTCCGTGAGCGCGACGTACAATTTCAGTGAGTAAAGCAGAGGTGGAAAATGGAAAAAATGACACAGTTAGGGCATAAATCTGAAGGGATCCTAGAACTTATCAAACTGGAAAAAGTTGGTCGATAAAATATCCAAAAATGCTCAAGACATTGTCCGTGAAGGTTCTCAGTCATCCAGGTCATCATAGTCTAAGGAGCTTGGAAAGAAAAGCGTCTGGACTCCTTTAAGTTGCTTGAAGACGTTTCACCTCTCATCCGAGAACTGAAAGAGCTTCTCGGATGAGAGGTGAAACGTCTTCAAGCAACTTAAAGAAGTCCAGACGCTTTTCTTTTCTTTCCAAGCTCCTTAGACTGCTCAACTCATTGTTTTAGCCAACATAAAAACCTTCAAATAACATCTTTGGTATTTAAATGAATACCAAAGACGTTATTATATCGTGACAACGTTAAAAAAACAGCAAAAATGGAAACCCCAAACAGCGTAGAAGGAGCGCTTTAATCTCTTCCTGTCTAAATGTAGCACGTTCACTGAAGAAGACAGCTGTTATTAGTATGACTACAACGGATGACGGGTTTGTTGTGCTCATCTTTTGTTGCATCATTTGTGTAACAGCTTTAACAGAATCAGCATCACCGACTCTGTTTTACGGCTGTGATGTTACACCTTTATGTATTACTTATTTATTAAGACTTTTTCAGACTGATAATAAGCAACGGCACACTGACTGAATGCCATGCCGTGTCTCTTGTTGAAAGAAATGAAGGTTGTTCATTTTGAACTGAAGGTTTTGTAGCCATTTCTGTTTTAAGTTGGATTTTTTCCCAAACAACAGCCTAAAATAAGGAGTTAGAATTATTTACTTTGTGATTTGAGTGTTTTTCTTGGCTCTGGGATGTTAAAAAATTAGCAGCTCGATCAATAATGATGATAACAAAATCTGAATAGTTACAAAATTACCAGGCTACCTACACATTACACCAACAGGAGCTGCTCAGCCATTGAAACCATGCTATGAAGCTCCAGGCACACAGTTTTTGTCCATTACATGGTTTGAGACTTTATGGCTGAGTTGCTCTGGTTCCTAAATGCTTCCACGCTGCCACTTACAGTGGATCGTGGAATATGCACAAGGGAAAAAACTTCACAGACTGACTTGTTGCAGTGGTGGCATCCTATCCGGTCGTTAAGTCTGACGTCACTAGCCGCGTCTGGGCCTAAACTCTGCTGCAGGTCCATATATCAAACGATCACTATGGCATTACTGAGAGTTGAAAAACTGTCTAAAGTCTTTCATCTTTAATAAAATGATCAGCGTTCTGCTCTACCAGGTGTAACAATTGAGTTTAACATCCAGGCATCCATGAAAACGGAATTTATGACATTTAACGGAGTTAGAAGTTAGCAGGGAGTTAGCTCGCTAGCTTCTATCTAAATACAATATAGCATGTCCTGACTGCGGGGTTTTGGAAACAAATTAAAACGTACAGCTCTGCTATCACTTCCAGCATAAATGAAGACAGAAAGCTAAACAGCAGTGACGTTTGTAGGGTTACTGAAGTTTGGCTAGCTGGTATATAATGATGTGCTACGTGACCGCTAGCGACACAGCTATGTTAGCATAATATAAACAAGCTAACCTTTTTTTTCCACTCGATAAAAGTTAACGTGAGTGTTCTCGGTGGTCAGGAACAAATGTAATCGCATGGCAGGATGCTGTAAAAGGACCAAACTTCAGCCAGGAGAACAACTGAGATAATCCATCCACAATACGAGGTTAGTCATTCATATACTGCTGCATGGGCTGTAGTTACATCCTAAGGTTTTAAAAACTGAGCTTAAATAAATGATTAGCAATAATAAAAGCCGAGGGAGGTCAACAGTGATCACTGACTGTTTTAGGAGCTTTTTGAGATCAAATAGAAGAAAATACAAAACATTAAACATGTTAACAACACAAAAGCCATATTAAACGCAGACTACTTTAGACCCGGAAGTAGGATTCGTCACGTCATCACTTAACGACCGGATTAAAACACCACGCTTGGATTCGGTTAGCTCTGAAGAACGACCAGTTCCTTCACAAATGTTTATAAAGGCTGACTTCAAGCCTAGGTGCCAGATTTTATGCCCTTGTGGCAATGAGGCTAAAAGCACCTGAATTTAAAGATTAAGAGGAGGTGGCGGCCACTACGTTTTGTCTATATATGGTTATCCCCTTTTTCCCCACAGATATCGACATGCACCTTCTTCCAAACTTGCCGTCTATCATCATTTCCCATATCCTGATATTGTTGTTGGTGTTTTGTTGTGACAGCATTTCATCATGTGATACTGCGTCCCAGCCCTCACAGAGGGTGTGGTGCAGCTTTGACTTCTAGCAAAGCACAGCTACTCACTACTCTGTAGAGTCCAGGAGTTGGTACTCGCAGCGGCGGCTGTAACAGGCACGTATTCCCGAGTCTGCCCAGAGGCGGCGGATTGCGTCAACATGGCCCCGTTCCAGTTGGGTGACCTGTACTATGCTTACGTCCTCCAGCCTCTTGGCGTAAATCTGGAGGACAGCACAAGATTCTCAGTGTGAGGAGATTTCATGATGAATGCTTAAAAAACATTGAATACAAAGCTTTTTAACATCCTGTGTAATTAATCCTTCAACAGATGCTTTGCACCAAGGATTTGTGCATGTTTATAGTAAAACCACCAGCTATTTATAGGCTGCAGAACGCTATGCACGTATATTGGTGTCAGCGTGTTTCATGCTTCTTCTTCAATGTGGGCGTAATCCCACAAATCCTGGGAGTGCACTTCTGGTCAGACGCCTGCACACCTGCGCTGGCGCCCGTGTTTATGAATAAGCGTTGATGTGTAACTGGGTGTGTCCGTGTGTGTTTATGCTGCATCTACCTCGTTCTGTGGGTTGGAGTAGGGAATTCTGAGCGTGGCCATCGCTCCTGTCATTGCAGTCATGGCAGTTAAGATATTCTGGTAGATGCATTTGGCGAAAGCCTTCCTCTCCTCCTCTGAGTAGCCTCGTCCGTGAATGATCCTCATCTGTCGGATGAAGGTGGTTTTCCCACTCTCCCCAGTCCCTGAGGCAACAAACAGAACAGCTAATAATTTACATTTAAAGCAGAAATCCTTCATTCAGGTTTCCTCAGAGCAAAGATGAGATCGAGTTAACTGAAAATAACGGTGCTTTAAAAATGGCCAGATGGAGACGCTGTAATTGTGAGAGAAGGTTAAAGCACTTATCTGTGAGCAGTATATTTAAGAGGATGGGACGATGGTGCTACCTGAGTTAATGTAATTCATACATTCATACATGAACACAACTCCCGTTCATTTCCAAGAATACTTCAGCACCTTTCAGACAAAAAAGGCTGCAGAGCTCTTCTCCCTCGGACTGATATAAAACCACATAATAACTCCTCGTTCTGTGACAGGTGAACACACCTGTCAGGCATAAGATTCTACAAATACTTCTGTATTGCACCTCCATGCAAATGTTGTTCTTAGATTTAGAGTGTACATGTTATTTATTAATGGAACGTGCACTACTCTTACACAACGTCAGTCTCACTTTTACAGTTTACAAAGTTACAAAGTTTTTTCTTTGTTTTTTATCACTGTTGCATGTGTATATTTTTGCAGGCTCTCATAGTGTTTTTGCAATATCTGTGCTTACTAAACATTTAACACAACATCTTTAAAAGGTATGCTGGTGTTTGCATCATATTCTACTATCCTTAAGCCCTTCCCACACACACACAGGTATTTTGGAAAACAGTTTTTTATATCGGTTTTTGGCCTTTTGTCCACAACCATGTTTTAGGTCACTGAAAAGAAGTCTTGATGCATATGCTCAATCATCCAGGTAAAGAAATCTCAAGAAGCTACGTCCACATGAACAGAATCAACTTTTTAGGGTCACTGAAAAGCGTGGATGTTTCATGTGGATGGGATGGTTTCTTAAAACAAAAGCAGAAGCTCCTAGTTTAAAAAAATATTCTCATAGATGTGGTCAGAAAAGCAGCTTTAAAACAACACGTAATCATTCTCTTTTGCATCCAAGGCTATGGTAAGTTCCTCCTGTAGCCTCAGGGAGATCAAAGTGTTAACCTTAAGCTTTTTTGTGAATATAAACTATAAAGTAGCGTGATGAGGAGACTTTATTCCACAGGAAGCTGAAAAACGAGCACTCAATTCAAAACACAAAAGGCCTGATATACAGCTTGCAGGTACCTTCTCTGCAGACTAGAATCAAAGATACTCTGTTAAAGATACACCGAACGAGAGGGGAAAAGTTGATTTCTGTTCTGTTACACCTCGGTTTATTGTTAACATTTTATGCCCCTCTTGTTTTATTGTTTTGTATCATCTGTGTGGTGACTGTATTTCATAACGAGCGCCCTGGATTTACGCTGCTTCTCACACGGTTACAGTCCCAGGGTTTTAAGTCGTGTTTATTATTTTAGGGTTCTCTGTTTGCTTTCGCTGATGTTTTAGTGCTCTGTGTGTTTTGTATTACTGTTGGTTGAGTTCTTCATTCCTATTTTTCATTTCTTTATTATTTCAGTCTCAGTTCTTATTTTATTCTAGTGATGAATGCGTTGATTTCTAATAGTTTTATTTCTGTTCCTGCCCTCATATCTTGTTGTTCTCACCTGTGCTAAGCGCGCTAACCTGTGCCTTGTTTCCCACCTGTTTCCTGTGTAATCAACCCTCTGTGTATAAATAGTCCTGTCTTTTCCTCTGTCTAATTTTCAGGTATCTGTTATGGTTCCTGTGTTGCTTCTGTGATTGCATTTATACTTTTTTATGGCCTAAATCTTTTAAGTCTGCATCCTGCACTCAGACAAGGAGTGCAGAGGACTGAACAGACTTCAGTAAACGCTCCTGAAATCCTAACTTAACCACTCAGACGAAAGAGTGAGTGGTCTTTGGATGTATTTGTTTTATTCAGTTGTCAGCTAGAGGAAATCAACACAACTTTTGAAGGAAAATCATAAAGCAGCGTTTGTGTGAGACGTGCTGAAGATGTTTTCCTGACAGTCCAGCTTTTGCAAAACAGAAATTTTTGTACAAGACGTAAGAAAAACTGGCCCCCGTGTATCACGTCTCATTATCTTCTTAGTCTGCTGAAAACATCCCAAAAGAACGACACGCTCATTTACTGTGTGTTATTTACTGGGTATCTGCTGCTCTTTCACAGTGCCACAAAGCAGCAGCATAGCTATCATAAAAGATACTGTGGTTCACGCATAGCTGCAGAGACAGATAGTTGATTAACTAATACAGTATTAGACATTTTTAGAAAAATTGGATTTGGTTTTGTGTTATTCTTTTGGTTCTGATGCAAAAAAGACGCAGACCTACAGCCAGTTAACCAAACACAGGTCTCTGAACTCCACGAGGGACCCGGAGTACCGAGAGAGAACCCACAAAGATACAAGGAGAACATGCAAACTTGACACAGAAAGGCCCCAGCATGGGGCGACAGCGCTAACTCCTGCAACACTGCACTGCCCACTTATTCAATATATGTCAATAAAGTGGACCTATGATGTTCTACCTCATGTTTCAATCGTATATGTATATTACGAGAAATGAACGTCCAAGCATTCTCCGGCGAGGGATCTCTTGTTTATGATCTTTTGATTCATCATAAACTTGATTTTCTGTTTAACGGCGACCTGGCAGCGGCCCAGTGACTTCTTCGAATTTGTTTACACCTGTCAAGCCCGTGTATCTAGATGTGAGGGTGGCGCCGTCTGTTCCTACCCATTCAAAATATGAAATCACGATGATACAAATCAATGGACCAATTCCCACAACCTCAGCTGCTTTTTACTGCTTTGCTAACCCTAACCCTACCTAAGCCCAACGCTGACCTTTTAAATGATTTTTCTGATTAGAAAATCGTGGGCATTTATATTAAATATGACCAAAGATTCAAATAATGAGGACATTGTATGTAAAGTAATTCCTGTGAGCTCTGTCTTCAATCTGCTCTACAGATTAGGTTAATTAGGAACCATGACTAAGACTCTATTAAAGTACAAGCATGAAAGTATGGATCTGAAAAGAGGATCATGCATTGATAATTACAAGGGTGTCAACCTTTCTGGTCTTTGTGTTATAGTGGTTGCTGTTTGACACAAGCACTAAAAAGAAAAGTGTATATATTCAAATGACTTGGTTTTGTCTAACAAACAGCAGAGAAGCTGCAGAAACAAGACCAAATAAAGTCAGCACATAGAGATATTCAAATTCAAACGATTGAAAATCAACTTGTCAGTTGAGTTTCTGTCAGCTAAACTATTTATCATGTAAATGTTTCACCTATGACACCAGCTCAGGGTATCTCTGCCAGGAAGGTGAAATTATCTTAAAATCAGACAATCCGAAACTTGTCAGACTAACTGTAAGAAAACCCAAACAAAGCTGGGCTTGTATGTTTCTGGGCCGTGTGCCACAGGTGGTTTTCAGGTGGCATAACCAATCCCTACTTTCATCGTTCATTCTTCACATACTCACATGGTGACACATGCCTTACATAGCTTATACACTCATGTGCAGAGGCCACCAAACAGTCTTGATTTGTATGCAGGGTGTACCTTAGGGTATCTTGTCAAATTTTAAATGCAGTTTAATGTCTGTTTAGCCTGTTTTTTGTGGGTTGTTTATTTTGTTGCATGAACCAACAGGTGTGTGTGGTGCTGTACTGACCAAGCAAAAGGATTTTAATCTCCCTCCTCTCCTTCTTCTTCTGTTGCTTCAGGATCCTCTTGATCTCTTTGTCCACAGCAATGGTGTTCTTCTCCTCCTCGGACAGACAGCACACGCAGGTGCTGTAGCACCACCGCCCGCAGCCGGCCATGGCCAAAAACACTGAAATCAAACTGTTAATGCATTATTAAGTAGCCAAGCACCCGCAATAATAAACTCACTGTTAGGCAGCTTGATGTCTGTTTGCTCTTCAGTGGTTTTTACTTGCTCACTGACACGCCAGTGGTCTTCATTTGCAAGTATGCCGACCGAAGGTTAACTTTAAAGGGTGTTTCATACTTTTATGTACGCTTCATTATGAAACTCGCCGGTCAGTTCGGTGAGTAAACACTACAGCACCTTTGTCACTAAGAACTTTTCCTTTTCGTCTTTTACAAGAGAAACAAAATGAATCTCTCACCTCCAATCAGTCTGTCACACTCCCTGAAGACGAGCAGGTACAGGTTCAGATTTCTTTTCCCGGGCCATTTTTCCCCTCCCTCAGCTCTGCACCTGCTGACAGCGGCTAACAGCTGCCGTGGCCCACCAGCAGCTTCATTAGCTCCCACTGACTTTAAACGCCTTTTTTTCCAGCCCACACGGAACAACGTCCAGTTCGGGAAAGTCCACCGCGCCTACGCAGGAATGTGCCGCCTCCCCGAGCCGCTCCAAACACCGCGACTGGAATGCTGCCCGAACGACGCCGCCACAAGACAGCGGCAAACGACGGCAGAAGCGCCGGAAGATAGAGGTTTGGACGTACAAAATAAAAGCATGTCGTCGCAAGTTGCATTCAAACGTGAAAGATTAAATTGAAACCCGAATTTTTTTTTATATTTTCCTGCTTCATGCATGTGATTTCTTCTTCACTCATCTTTTTTTCCACTCATTTTACCAGTACACTACTCTGCATTTAATAATTAGTTATTGCTAACGTCTGACTCTTTTCCACATCGTCCTGTCTGCCAAAGGTCTCTTCCTGTTAGAAGTAAGTTTTTCCTTCCGACTGTCGTCGAGTGCTTTCTCATAGAAGGTCATTTGATTGTTGGGGGTTCTTTACCTTATAATGTAAAGTCACCCAAGTAGACTGTTGTTGTGATTTGGCGCTATATACATAAAATTGAATTGAACTGATTCCAGTGTTATTCATTTGTTTTGTAGCTGTTACAATTATGTGTGATTAATACTGAAGAAAGATCTGTAAAAACTACATATGTGAAATATTTGGGAGTTTGTAACACCATTACCACCATGGTCTCCTGAGATGCATCACATTTTGATATTTCGCATACAACATATGCATCGTCACTGGGTACAGTGTAAAAATGATGTTTGCATATTAATGCATTAATACTAATAATAACACTAACATTATACATAATAATACAGCTTTGAACATTTTCTACATTTAATGCATTTAATGATATGTAATGTCTGCAGTTAATAATTGATTGGTGTCTATTGTTAAAAAATAAAAACAAAAAAGTATTCTTGTATTCTTAGCTCCTCACTGGATTTCCAAACTTCTCACCTGATTAGTAAATCCATCCACCCTGCAAATGAAACTTCTGGTCATTAGACAAATTTCACAACCACAGGTAAATGCAGGAATTTAGGCTGACTGGTATATCAAGATTTTTACCTTTGCCTGGCTCTCTTATCACGTCCAAGGTATTGTAGAGTGACTTTGCAGTGGATTTCATGGTCGCTTTGTTACTCATAAAAAGTACCATGAAGTACTTGAACTCCTTCTCTTCTCCTTCATGGAGCAAGCCGTTGTTTTCCAGAGGAGCAGAGTGACCTAAGATTTAGGGATGCTGCTCAGCATTCCAGCTGCAATCCCAAAAATCACGTTCATAATTCACGTTCAGTTCCAAGATCAGGACCCATGTTAAACATCTGTCCACAACACCTGTGGTTGTGGTGACAACACTGATGACCATGAAATTGTGAGCTTGGGATGCTGACTCCACACATGGCAAAACAGCCAAACTTATTCTGTGCCCTGCTTCACCTGATTCATTGCTGTTACTGACCACTCCTTGGGTATATTGTTCTAGAGTAAACAACTTTGTCACGAGCCTCACAGTTTGGATCGTGCATGACATTTACACCTGTGACAGAGTACACAGTATGACAAATGCTTCCAAAAACCAATGCATGTGATAACAAAGAAGTGCAATGTAAAAATGTTTGCCTATCGTTTAATTACACCAGCTGAGGTTGATTTAATGTTCTTTTAATGCAGGCATAAAAATGCTTTGCGTGAAAAATACCCCACACACTGATATTCTTACTCTTTTATTTTTACTCTATTTACTCTATTTCTTTTATGTGTATTTATTATAATTTAATTTTTAAAGTGTAGTATGGTTTCATGTAATTGAAAATTGTAAATCTTCTCTATGCAATGTGGATTTAAAAGCCCAGCAAGGGACAAGGGTTTGAAATGAGCAATAGCTATAAACTCTGGCAGCACATCCTTATCATGCTCCATATAGGAACTATGCTAAACTGCATTGCCCCTTTTAAATATATAAACTGAAATAGAACTTTAGAAAAGCAGGATGAGGAATGGGCTAACAGTTATAAACAATAAAAAAAATTTTTTTTTTATTCGACATTTTTATTTAAAACTGCAGAACCTTTGAGCTTGTTGTGCAGACGCTATTATTATGAAAATACATAACCGGAAGTTGGCTCTTCTTTTTCATGTCTGTTTTGACTCTTTTCAAAGAGTCCGCGGATAAAGTTTCAGCTACCGCAGAGGCTCCACGGCTTCATGTTTCACATGAGCTGGGGGCAATCACTGACTCACAGACTTTTACTTTTTACTCAGTTATTTTTAATAACCAGATGTTATATTTTTTTAAAAAAACCTTAAGTTTAAAACTCCAAAATTCAAAAAGAATTAAAAAACCTTTCAATAAAAACAATTAAAATCAATCAATAAAAAAAACAAAACCAAACAATTTCCTTTTAACAAGGTAAGAAAAAAACGAGAATATTATTGTGAAAATTTTACATCTAAATTATGACATGTAATAAAATGGTTACAGGTCTAGTACAATACAAAAGCACACACCCAAAGTACTCCAACCGTCAGGAATCCGTGTAAGGCTCAGTGATTCAGTGATTTTTCACCGTGCAAAGGTTTTTCAGAGTAAAGATGAAGAGGGCAGCAGGTTTGTCACTCCTCTTCTTGGCTGCTGTTTGGATGTCCAACTTTTGTCTCACCTGGCAGAACCGGTTTGTCCAGCTTTCACGGTTTCATATATTGAGATCACCTGAGCCCCACGTTGCCATGGCAACGATGTGAGGCGAATATGGGGTCTTTAGTGTATATGTGTGTGCGTGTGTTTTCAATTACAGCAAGTAATTAAAGCTTTAATATATGTAATCCGTTTTATTTGCTTCTAATAGGCTGGACTTTTACAGAGGTGTTGCTCTGTAAACAAAGCCCTGCCATACTTGTCATCTTTTGTGTGTATTGTGCGACTGTGTTGTAGCTCTTCTTCTTGACATTTGTGTGTTTATTAAGATGATAATGGTGCAAATATTGTTTTGAAGAACGCCTTTCGTAGGCTTTTTCCCTCCCCTTTTCATTCCCCTTCCTTTATATAATTCTCTAAAATCTCTGCCAACAAAGATGTGTTTAGTGAGAATTTAGGGAGAGAGAAAAAAGGAAAGGAAGACAGAATAGAGGAGCAAGGAACAAGAGAGAGAGAACACAAGAGAAATGAGGAAAGAAAGCGGAAAAGGTAAAACGGTGGGGAATTATGCGCAAAAAGTGGGCGTTGAATGACAGTAACAGGAAAACAAAACAAAAAAAACCCTTCCTCGTGCTTCCCGTTACAGGGATTTAGACATCTGTAGTGTTTACCTGCTGGCAGAGATGGATCCAGATCTCTTAGTACAATGGAACACTTTGTGTAGAACCTGTATTATTTATGTGCTTGCTTGTTTGTTGTACATGCAGCGGCAGTAACACAGACTCTATCCCCATGTCACCGGCTGCTGAGGGAAACACGAGATGATCAATGATTAATCTGACAGCATCTATCAGACAGTGTGTCACACCAGAAACAATAGAGCACCGCAGGCAGCTTCTCATCAGGTTAACATCACTCCAAACAGGAGTCTCTGCACACAGCGTGGCGTATTATTGTTTATGGGGTTAAAAAAAGCTTCTCTTCATTGGTTCCCTATAAAATACAGTGTGAAGTTTTAAATCCATCACTCCACATACAAACTTTTGAATAATTAGGTCCTGTCATATTTTAAAGACCTCATGGTTATCCTAACAGGCCACTTTCCTCTCAGACTGCAAGCTTACTTGTGGTATTTGAGGCTTCAACTGTCATCAGACTCCTCTTCTGTAAAACCAGCTCCCAGTTTGGATTTAAGAGACAGTCACCCCCTCTACTTTTAAGATTAGGCTTAAAAACCTTTTGGTAAAACATATGGTTCGGGCTGGATCAGGTGACCCTGAACCATGCTGCTAGGAGACTTCCCATTATGCACACCGATCTCTTCATCTCCACTCCCTTCTATTCACTTTTATTTTATTTCCACTGCACGTCATTAACTCTTGTCTTCTTCCTTCCATAGTTTGTGTTTTGTCCTTTGTCTTTCTGTGTTCTCCTTTTTTCTCTTCTCTTTCCCTTCACCTCCAGTCAGCTGTGGCAGATGGCCGCCCCTCCCTGAGCCTCGTTCTGCTGGAGGTCTTTACTTGCTAAATGGGAGTTTTTCCTCCAAGTGCTGCTCATGGGGGATTTTCTGATTGTTGGGGCTTTCTCTCTAATGTTGTAAAGTCTTTACCTTGCAGTATAAACCACTTCAAGGGGACGCTTGTTGTGATTTAGCGCTATGGAATTAAAGCTGAACTGAATATTTTTTATACTTAATATACTTTATTTATTATGTCTTACACTCCTACTGAACATCATGCAGATTTTTTTAAGGATGGTGCAAATATATACTCATTTCTGGGACTACATATTTACTCCTTCAGTCTGCATGCTAAAGTGTGTGTGTGCACTATAGTGCCAGACCATTCACCCTCAATAGAGATGAAGCAATGATTTTAAGTTAAATAACCTTAAATGTTATTAGTAAAAGTCAGGAATTTGGGCATATTTTTTTAAGGTACTATTTGCAGAGTAATGAAGACAAAGATTTTTTTTCACACTGAGATGAAAAGTATGTGCTGTCCTTATATGCTCCTACCCCTCATACACAATAATAGCCAACCACAAACTGATAATGAAACGGCAAACAGTATTTCACAATAAAATGAATGTCAAATAAATGAAATAACTACGAATTTTCTAATTTAAAAAAACATTCAGAGTTGACTTAAGTGCCACATAACAGAATGAAAAGCTGTGTAGTGGAATAATAATAACTGCTTTCTTTTCTAATTGAAATATTTGGTTGGTGATTATTTTCTCCTCATTCTTCTGCTCCGTCAGTCAAGTGTGGGACAATGAGAGAGCAATGCCGTGTATAAAGAGAATCCAGACTTATGTATCTTTGGCTTTGTGGAATAATGTGATCATCTTGGAAAAATTTTTAATGTGTTTTTTAAAGAACAAACAAACAAACAAAAAATACCCAGTGCATTACTGGTGAAAATGACCCTAAATTGGTGAACGGCTGTAATTATCTGACTGAGTTCATAGTGAATGAACAGGGTTGG